TATGAAACTATGGCAGGAGATGAGCAAACCTAAACCAAAGCACATCTGGACTTCCTCAAACTACAGGCACATGGTACAAGGGCTGGAACTAAAACCATGTCTTCAAGCTGCTAAGTCCCTAAATCGTGCAAAATGTGTGATTACCACCACAAGAACAAGATCCTGAACTGAAGCTCTAGGTACTCCCTGTACCTACAGCCCAGCAGTAAATCCACATCCTGAAAACAGAGAAGAGCACTTCCCAATCAAAGCCAGGCAGGAAGCCCAAATAAAACCACAAAAGAGAACGTGACGGGATGTTCTAAAGCTGTGAGTGTGGCTGTGGCCTCTGCTGTCTATAGCCAGGGTCTCCATGACAGCGTCTCTGATCGCATCTGAAGGCAAAAGTGTTGCCTATGAGAAACACATGACAGGAAGCCCACACACGCCCAGGAACTGGCTGCAGTTCTCTCAACCCAACCCCACTGCAAGTCAAGTCAGTCAATTCAAATGATCTGCCTTTGGCTCGAGGTGCCTGACCTTGGGTTACTCTCACCCAGGTGGTGAAACCACCTTACTCAGCCAGCTTGACTCTTCACAGGGGAAAGCTGCACCTTTAAGGGCTTAAGAAATCCACAAATGTAATAGTGCTTACTGTCCCACAGTGAACTGCAGGCTGCAGCCCCTTCCAAACCCTATTGCCATGGGTTTATGATTCACTAGGGAAGGGAACACCACAACTTTTAGCTTGGTACTGTTCTCATCCTGGTGATTCTGACACTACAACAGAGTGGAATAAGCAAAGTAGCCAACAGTGAAAGCACTGGGAAATGCCACCATCACACCCTGTGTGGTGGAGTCTCATAAACTTCAGTCCTGACACAATAGAGAGTAAAAAGAAAATCCAATTGCTCCATCCATCACCACAGCCATCTCTTGGACAAAGCACAGGATGTATTTGGCAACACTATCTATGGAAGTAAACAAGTATAGGGAGTAACATCTAACTGAAATTGCAGAGTAAGTTCAGGGATTAAATAGTTCAAAGGTGAGTGGGATCAAGACACCAGTTTTAACCATCTCTCTCTTAGATGGTCTTGACACTTTGACGTCAATATAGCATATCCGAGATCCACACCTCACTGGAGAAAACATGATCCTTTACAGTCCTCATGCCAAGGCACTGACTGAGATGATTCAGAGCTGCTGCAGAAGCGCTGCTAACCCCACTCCCAAAAGCATCCAGCTCTCTCTTGGAGGTCTTTTTAATGCCTCTTCTACCCTGCCTGGCCACGTTAGACAGGGCAGGAGTACATCCCCTGAGCCCTGCTTCAGGGGGAGTCTGAAGACAACAAGCAAGTACAGGTGGGACATCCATCAGCACAGGAACTGGAAGTCAGTGACACAAGTTACCTGCCTGAGTCACTTCCTGACCCACAGATCCTGACCCCGAGCTCCCGGGGAAGAATGAGATACTTGGGATTTTTCAGAACACTCCTTCACTCCAAGAGGTGATTACTGCTCTGTCCCACACAGCCTAAGGGTCAGTAAAGGCCCTGGGAGTAACCAGGACACATACCTCCTCCAACTTCCTGCAGTCTCGTTTTCCAGACGAACCCTCTTTATCTTCTGCATTAACTACTCAGCGAGCTGGGCAGGACAGGAAACTGGGAAGGAAGAGGGAAAAAAAAGCAGATTTCATTTAGCTGCAGTTTCTCTTGTCATGGGAACACAGCTGCAGAAAGCATTCTCCCCAGGTCACATTTCCAACCGAGCAGGGAAGTGCAAACAAACCCCTTGGTTTGCACCTCGCAGTCCAGATCTGCTCTGCCAGCACATGCTGGGTATCAGTGGCTCACAGAGAGCTGAGAGACTTCTTCACCTGAACAACGCGATGCAGGGCACTGCAGACTGCCTCTTTCTTGCCTAAAAAAATACTCATTAAAGCCTCAGCATCCTCAGTGCTGAACTTTCCTTTCATTCCCCTCCCCAAATCCTGGAATTCTCGGGATTTCCAAGTACAAAGAGTTGAGAAAGCAGAGGTCTGGTCCATACATGCACAGGCAGGAGTCAAACAAAGGACACCATAAGGAGCCAGCCAGAGGGTCAGCAGCCCCAGTACCAACAGCGTCACAGTCCCACCTGGGACATAAACCCCACATTTGTCTTCCAAGCCAGGCTGCTGCTTCCCTCTGCCTCAGCCTGAGGCCACAGAGGAGCCCCAGCTCCACACACAAGCCCATTTTCCATGAGCAAAAGCAAGCCCCACCATCACTATCGTCCTCTCTACCCAAGTACACAAAAGTACAAAGATCTTTGTCTCCTCTTCAAGAGAGCTCTGAATCACAGACACACCCGAGACCTGCCACTGCCTTTGAGGAGGCCCCTGCTCTGACCAAACAGCCATTTCTCCACCACAACTGCACTCACAGAGGATCAGGAGAGACAAAACATCACAAAGAAGCCCCAGCAGTGAAGCTCTGAGGCTGCAGAGGAGAACAGAGAGGGAATGAAGTAGCAGCATCCAGTAATTTAAGGGCAATTTTCTCTGCCAGCACAAAGGGCAAGAGAAGCGATGCTCAGGAATGCTGAGTAACCTGGTCTGATCTCGGAGCTGACCCTGCTTCGAGCAGGGGGTTGGGACCAGAGACTTCCTGAGGTCCCTTGCAGTCTCAGTTATTGTGTGCTTTTAATGATTCAGAGAAACATCTTACCCTCATCCCGCCCGCCACAGCTCACACGTTTCACCCAGCAAAGGAACAATAACGTCCTCTGACGCTGAACCCAGAGCAAAAGCAACTGAACAAAACAGATACAAAGGATCAGAACCTCGCATGAATCATGATAGCCATTTGTCAGCAGACCCCGAGGGGCCTGCTGCTGCATTCAGGAAGAGCCAAAGCAACACAGTCACCTAGAGGAGCCCTTACAGAGGCGGCCCTCGCAAGGCTGGGAGCTTTTCAGGTCTCCTTTCTCCAAAAACAAAAGGCACGGAGGGTGCAATAAACCAGCGGGGATCGCTCCACAGAGGGACGAGCTTTGGCAAAGGCGCCCGCAGCCCATGGCCATCCCCTGCCCGCGCTGCAGGGGCAAGGCCGGGCCATGGCTTGGCAGGAGGCGAGGGACGGAGCACCCTGGCCCCCCCCTCACTGCCGGGGAAGGCTCTGCCTGTGCCGAAAGGGGAGCAGCAGCTCCCCCCCTACCTGGGCAGAGCACGGGCTGAGGGGGGGGCACCCCAACTCCGGGTACCCCCATCCCTGGGGACAGGGGGAAGCGCGAACACCCCCCTGTAATGCTGAGGTGCGGCCGCCCCCCACATCCCGGGGGACGAATACAAGTTATGGGGGGGGGAAATACAGCCCATGGGGGGGGGATACAGCCCATGGGGGGGGGGGAATACAGCCCATGGGGGGGGGGGATACAGCCCATGGGGGGGGAGATACAGCCCATGGGGGGGGGGAGATACAGCCCATGGGGGGGGGGGAATACAGCCCATGGGGGGGGGGGGAATACAGCCCATGGGAAGGGGGCGGCAGCGAACCCCCCCCCCCGAGGCACCCCCGGCCCCGGAGGGCGGGAGCGCGGCCTATGCAGGGGCACACGCTCCTGCCCCACAAGCCGCCCCCCCCTCCCTCCCCGCCGGTCCCCGCGCCCTCCTCACTCACCGCGGGGCGCGGCGGCCTCCCCCTGGGGGCCGGCGGGAGGAGGGGGGCGGCGGCGGCTCCGTCAGTCCCGCTCCATGGCCCGGGGCTGGGGACGGGGACCGGAGGGGACGGGGGTCTCAGGGAGGGGGCGCGGCGGCCCTGCCACAGCGGGACCTTTCACCCGGCGGCGGAAGTGGCGGGAGCGCGCAGGGCGGGATGGCGGGAGCGCGCGGAGAGAGGGGAGCACCAACTCGCGGTAGAGAGGGGGGGTGGGAGGAACCACTGCGTGAAAGGGGGGGAACGATTGGGGAAGACGGAACTATTCTCCTTAGTGAGGGGGGTACAGAGAGAATCGAGGGTGACAGAGGGTAAAACAAAGCACAAAGACACTCTTATTTCACCGCCGAGCCTCGGAAGTGGATCCCTGATGCAGCATGTATTGCCGCCGTGAGCAAACTGTGGTGATATTCTTATCCATCGCCTCGCCAGGCCCCCCTCGTCGAGAGGATGGTTGGGTCCAAGTGGGTGAGCTTGCAGAGGGAGGCCGGGGAGCGCTTTCTCGCCGGGCGTTGGTGGTATAGTGGTTAGCATAGCTGCCTTCCAAGCAGTTGACCCGGGTTCGATTCCCGGCCAACGCAGCGCTCCTCTTTTCGCACTTCACTTTTTTTATCCCTCTTTGCACCGATTCCAAAGCGGATTCCGAACGCGGCTGCACCCGAGGGGCCGCGTCCCGCCCGGGCGCGTTACAAACCTCAGCCGCGGCGCTGGCCACCGGGGCGCGGCGGGACAGGGGGGAGGTCGGTGGGGGGCACATGGTGCCGTTACTTGTGTCGCAGCGGGGCCTGCGAACCGTCGAGAGGCGGCGGGGGAAGAAAGAAAACGAAAGGGGGAAAAAAGGAAAAGACAGAAAAAAAAGCAAACGACAATGAAAAAGGAGGTGTTTCCGCCCGGGATCGAACCGGGGACCTTTCGCGTGTGAGGCGAACGTGATAACCGCTACACTACGGAAACCCGCTGTGTATGGGTGCTCTGGGCGGCGCTGATGTTGGTGCCCTCCGGAGCTCACCGCTCCCCCCGCGGCAGCCTCGTACCCAGCCTGCTCCAAACGCCCAGAAAAGCGGGGCGGCAGAATAGCATTAATTAGTGCTAATGACTAATTAGTGCTTCCGGAGGTCCACCCGCCCCGGGGGGGGGGCTGAAGCGGCTCCTCGCGCCGTGCTGGGCTGCACGGCGGAGCGCTCGGGACGCTCCTCGCCCGGAGGAGCCGCTCCTCCTGCCGCTGCTGCCAGCAGATGTCGGTAGAACAGAGCCGGCGGGGAGCGGGGGCCTCCCTGCAAATGGGGCTTCTCCCACGCGCGCAGGGCTCTGCTCTCGTCCCTGGGCAAGAGGACGGGGCCGAGCAGGGGGCCGTGGTGCCGGCATCACCCTGCGGTGAGCTGAGGGTTGGGGTCAGCCCCACTTCATGGTAACGCACCCACGGCAGTCGCTCTTCGGAGTAAAACCTCGGCGCTTGGAGTCGGGCGCGTTTTTCCTGCTCTGTTTTGTTTGTCCAAGTGTTTAATGCTCCGCTGGCTGCAGAGGAGAGCTTCGAAGGGGGGAATGTCCCATCAACCCAGATGGAAAAGAACCTCGCTTTTAATAAAACTTTTAACAAAATCCACTTTTAATTTTACAGTTTTGTAGCTGATCTCTTGGTTTGGAGCTCAGAGGAGGTTGTACCACGTCTTTTACCTCCAGTAACTTATCCTGATCTGCCTCGCGATGAGGATTAGAACACGGCATTAAAGTCCATGGCAAACCTGAAGCCTTGGGGCTTGTTTGCTTCGTGCTGCTATTGAGCAGCCTGTGTTGGGCTCCCCGTGCCTGCAGGGGAGGACTCTGGCAGCAACCTTTGCACTGTGCACAGTGGAGTGCCCTGAGGGCAAACCTCATCGATAGCTGAGGGCAAAGTCCTCTCCCTAGAGCAGGAGGAAGTGGGTCTGTAAACTGAGCCAGGGCCATCAATGGAAAGATTCAAAGGCTTCTGGGTTTGTTTTCGTCCCCAGACCCCTTTCAGGCTGGCAAGCCGTGGAGAAAGGAGAGCTGCAGAGCAGACAGCCTCAGGCAGGAAGCTCTTGGAAGGTACCTGTGGGAGGCAGGAATGGGATGAAAGCTGTTGTGCTGCCAGTGTTAACTCCCAGACCTGCAGAGCTCAGGTGTATCTGGTGGTCATTAAGACAGCGCTGGGCTTTGGTAGCCTTGAAACCTACCGTGTGGGTGGCGTGCAGGCTGTAGGTCCTCCTCCTATGGGCAACTCTGAGGTCACAAAGCTCCCTCTCGGTGCGGGCTGCATCCTGCTGGAATGGCTCCTGGGGATGTTCTTGCTCTTACAGAGCTCCATTGGCAGTGACTGCTCAGACTTCACCTACAGGACAAAGAGACTTGGCAGCATTTTAGCCTCCCCTCCAGCCCCTGACCTATCCCACTTCCTCTGCTCCCAAGACTTACAACCCCTGCGGTGCTGCTCGGTGTGAGAGCTCTTTCCACCTCACCCCCCTCCTCAATGACAGTCTTTGGAGAGCTAGGAAGGGCTGCCACATAAACCCCCAAGGAAAAGAAAGCAGGGGCTCATTTGGAGGTGGACGATGGCTCCTCTCTGCTGTTATCACCAGCATCTGCCCTTTCTGAAGCAGGGAACCCTCCCCCTGCCAGTCCTTTGAGCAGCGCGCTGGAGGCAGCCATGCCGGGCTTTGTTTGCCTGACACGCTGCGATGGTTGTGGAGTCCCATCTCCCCTTCCCCTCCCTCTGCTCCCGAAGCAGCCTGCGTGGCTGTTCCAGGAGAGGGGAGCTCGGAGCAGTGCCGCGCAGGAGAGCTGACAATCAGGGCTGGGAGACAGCGCTGCCTCGCACAATACCCCCCCAATTAGCCATTCATTTCTGCTCCCTCTGAAATGGGGAGCACGGCCCTTGTGCTGGGAGATAAAACAAGAACGGCTTCAATAGCACTGATTTAAATTAGGTCAGGCTAGCTTTTGTGTGGCAGGGACCACACAATAGCAGTCACACGACTGCGGAGGGGAGCAGCATAAAGGAAAAGAGGCCAAGCAAGTGGCACAGATGCTGGGAGTCAGTGGGTGCTGGGAGATGAGGGGTGTATGCACAGGAGTGATAGCAGAGGGGCAGGCACTCCATCCAGCACGTGATGCTAATGCATAAAAGGGCAGATATGGTCAGCGCGGGACACAGAGGTCAAATATTGCCTCTGCTAAGCCAAAGCTATCAGCTAGTTCTGCCCCACCGAGGGGTACAACAGCACAGCCATGCCCCCTCAGCCCTGGGGGCTGGGCTGGTTGCAGTCCTCAGCGCTATCACCAGGGTTTGCAGTTTCTTTCCCCTCAGAAGTTCATCAAAAGCCCACACCTAACCCGAACCCCTGATGTACCGTGGAATCCTATGCTCAGGTCTTTATGCATTGGTGGGTTTGGGGGGAAAAACCAGCCTTTTTGCCTCTAAATGATCTCTTAACCCGGGTTCTCAAAGACCTCTTCAGTGAGAGGTCCTTCAGTGAGAGTTGCCCAGGGGAGTATGAGCACTGGAGGCTAGTCCCAGTTCCCGTTAATATTAATATTCCTGTTGCTGTTATTACAGTAGTTATGCAGATCTGTGTGTATCCGCACTGGGAGAACACAAGAGCTTTCTTTAGCAGTAACACTCTGCTCAGAGCTATCAACAAGAGCCAGACGTTTTCAGGCCAGGCTGAGCAAGCTGCTGTCGTGGTCTAAATGGGTTTATGCAGTTAAGTCCGTATGCAAAGGAAGGGCAGGTAAGTTTAAAAGCAAGAGTTCACCCCTGCAAGTCTCCCAGGCAGAAATCTCTCACACTGAATGGTCTTTTGTGACCAAGACTGGACTTCTACAGCTAAGAACCGCTGATGAGAGAAACTGTGGCTGTGGAAACGTTGAAAGCCATGATCAGCCATTTAATATGGCATTCTTCAGCTGCGTCAAATCAAAGGACAGCCTAATGCTCTTTGGCAGCTGCAAGAAAGAATTGTAAAGATAATACTTCTAATTTGAGCCAAAGGTTTATCCTATTCCCAAGTCTTCAGTTTCTTGCTGGAATAACTATTATTACAGTTTTCAACTACTGATAGTACAAAAGTGGGTGAGCCACAGAATCTGCATGTGCCAGCCAGTGCCAAAAGGAGAAAACGAGGTTAAACACCCAATTATCAGTTATTCTCCTTCAGTTGGTTCTTCCCACACAGATGGCTTTTTTCAAGTCCAAGACAGCCTAGAGTCACTCTGTGGCCATCCTCAATGGCACGTGCAGTTCCCAGGTTGATTTAAAGGCACCGCTTCCTCCACGTCTGCAGCCAGAAGCTGCTGTTGGAGAGATCCACACTAAAAATAAGTTGTCCCTTTTTAACAGCAAGTGTAATTAAGCGCTGAAATAGGGCCTGTTGCAGGGAGGTGGCCCTGAAGGCACCCAGCCAACGGGAGGCATCTTGCTAAAAGGTATGTTCATGTTCAGCCAGATGGTGAGAGCTTTCATGCAGGAAGCTCCTAGTGAAATTATCTCCCCAGTTTATGTCGGGAGCCCGTCTGGAGCAACCATAAGAGCCCTAATGCCTCTCCAAATACAAATAGATGGCTGCTAGTTTTCCCTGCTTTACTGCTATGCTTATTTTTAGCCTTTTAGTTGTGAGAACACGACTAAACCGACACAACAACAAAGTCACACTGGGCCTTTCAGTTTGGTTTGCTCTCTAAAGCCCTCGTCCACACTGCAGGGAAGACTGGAGGTGCCCGATTCCAAAAGCACGTTGTGGTAGCACAGAAATCTGTTACCTGGTTTGTTCTGTTCCTTTGCTCCCTTGCGGCTGCCTCTGGTGCCTCTCCCTGTACACGGCAGGATGCCAGCTCTTACAAGCACCTCACAGATGTGAGCACTGTGGGTTCCAAACAAGAAGACATAAAAATTACATATAATCATGTTAGTAGTACACACATCCATGTCTATAAATAAATCACAACTATACAATTAGGTAGATGCAGCTAGAGATCAGCGTTCTCAAGCAAATAGCACAATTTGGGATGTTCCCGAGTGGTGATTTTGTACATGCCAGTATTACTGAGATGGACTCTGTAACCCCAAACACTCATCTGAGTGCCTCAGCTCTCCAGCAGCCCCCAAAGCCCCGCAGAAACAAACGGGTTTGCCAGAAGGCTGCTTCGTTCCCTGGAGGTTTATTTGCTGTTTGGCTTGGGGGTATTCTGATCAGTTTTTAACGTCTATTTATTGGTCTTATTCTTGCTTTTGTTTATTTCTTCTTCCTTTATCGGCTCCAGCTGAGACGGGAGAGGTGGGAGGAGGGTTTTGTTCCTCTGGAGATAACAGGAGGCTGTGTGTGTGCAGCCATGGTGACAGGAGCCGGGGCGCCTGCTGCCTTCCAGGCGGTTTGCTCCCCAGCCCCTGCTCGGGGGAAAGTGGGGCAGCCACGAGAGGAGCTTTTGTTGCTCAAGTGCTTCAGCTGTTGTGCTAATTAAGCAAAGAGCTCTTGTGCCTTCCCACCTCCCGGGCCTGAGGAGGCTCTGCTCGGGCCCGAAGGGGAGTGGGGAGGCTGTGCTGCGGCTCCTCAGCATCCTGCTCTCTCTGCAAGGCTCTTCTGTTTCAGCCTTGCTGGGTGACCTGTGGGCAGCCCTCCTCAGATTCCCTGGCTGCAGGGGGAGGAAATGAGAGAGGCCGAGCTCAGGCAAGGCCAGATGGAAACTGCCACCCCGCTGCTCGAGGCGTTATTGTCGCTTTAATGCGGTATGTCCCCAGCTTCTCAGACAGGCTGACTATCAGCAAGATTGCTCTTTCCTCCTTCTCCAGCCTTCCCTGGATGTTATCCCTCTCTCCTTGGAGATGCCAGCCCCTGTCCCTCAGTTCTAACAGCATTTCTGCAACCTCCCCAGTGGAAGAACCTCTTTTGAGCCCCTCCGGTGTCTCTGGAACGTGCAGAAGATCCGGTTCATCTCCGGATGGTATTGGGCAACCTGCTCAGGGTGCTGGGACAAGGAGAGCAGGGTGGGGAGAGGGCAGGCTTAGTGGGAGCTAAACAGCCCCTGCTACAGGCATTACACACCTTACCAAAGCGCTGCACGTGTGTGGGGAGGAAAGGAGGCCGGAGATGTGGAGAGAAACAAACAAATGCAGGGAATAGGAACGCTGCAGGAATCCAGCAGCCCATGGAACTGAGGTCTCAGCTCTGGAAGGTGCCGGTCACCAAGGGCTGAAGGTCACGGCTGCTCCCTGCGCCCACTGCACTCAGTTGGATATCTCCATCCCAGGATCTCACAGGGAGGAATTTAGGGCCTCGCTGAGGAACAGATGGTCTCCTCTTGGGCCCCATCTGCCAGGCAACACTGGAGCAGTTGGGCTCTGCGGTGCTGAGCAGGATCTTGTTTGCTTTCCCCTCGTGTCAGCAAGGTGGAACTCAGGCCTGCTGTTACATCCCAGCTTTCCAGGATGCAGCCGGAACTCGAAGGTGTAGCCCAAGAGAGGGACAGGCACCGTGGCATCAGCCAGCCCTGGTGTGAGTCAGAGTCTAGCCTGAGCAGAGGTGCAAGAGGTCAGGATGTTGATGGGGAACCCTTCATTCAAGTGCAGGAAGAAAGCATGTGGCCTAAAGGAGAAACGTGGAGTAAAGCTGCACAAGGGAGGTGCCAGGAGCAAGAGGCACGTGAGCCTCATCCGTGAGGGACTGGTTAGCGCCTGGACTACTGAGAAACACACTGAGATTACTGAGCCAAGTCCTGAGCATTCAGCTCCTGAGCTGAGGGAGGGGGAATGACAAGGCAGCAGTCTGCCATCTGAGACCCACATCAGTGTGATTTGCAGGGTGCCCTGGAATCCTGGTGAGCTCCGGTACGGACCCGCAGGCAGGGAGCTCGTGGCTGCTCTGCAGAAATTGAGCCTGAACGATGGGAAATCTCTGGTAGAAATCCTTTGAGCAGGAAAGCAAGCCAGGGCCTGAAGTGGGCCTTGTGCTGGGCTCTCCCCTCCCCAGCTCTCAGAGATGAGGCAGAAGGGGCTGGAGAGATGGACCCAGTACCTTAGAGCTGCCCCTTCTGTCCCCACTTGGGCACAAGCAGTCTCCATCCACTGGGGACGTGAAGTGTCTCTAGACACGATTAAACACACACAAAAATAGCAAGTGAGAGCAGCTCCCCTTTAGCAGCACCAAAGATTGCTGCAGCACGGCTGATAAAAGAACTTCACTTCCTTGGTCGGTTGTGGTGCTGAAGCCCAGCATCAAGCACCGCAGAGATCATGCACTAGCACATGTTTTCCAGAGCCCTTGGCCCCAGCAGTCGGGCTGCTGAGGTCCTGCTCTCCCAGGCTGCCAGGTGAGGCAGGCAGAGCTCTAATGGTGCTTGGTGAGCAGAGGGCACGGAGCATTACTTTATCCCCTCCCCTGAGGGTTCCCATCCGCAGCGGCTCCGGCGCAGGATGCTGCCTCTCAGCTCTGCAGTAATCAGCCCAGAGGCAGAAAGTGGAAACTTTCTGGTTGCAGCCACTTAGTTTCATTAGAAGCATTGAAAGAGAAAACAGGCCTCGGGTCGGGCAGCGGGAGACGCGCAAGAGGAGGGGCAGAGGGGTTTGCAGCTTTGCTTTACACGTCTGTTAGCAAGTAAGCTTCAGCTAAGGACCGGAGGAGGGAAGGAGGGGCAGAGGCAGCCCGCAGCTGGGGTCCATCACCTCTGTTGTTGGCACTGCTGTCAGGAGATCAGACAGCTCTGGAAACCCCGCTCCCACTCGGGAGACCCGAATGAGCAGGATTCCCATCCTGCTGCCCCGAGGCTCGCTCCTGCCTCACATCCCCTCTGGCAGGATTTGCTCTGAATTGCTTTCCAAAGCCTTGTGCACAGCCCTTTCCCAGGGCTCCGTTCCAGGGCTAAATTGTCCTTATCACTGCAAGGAATTTTCCCTCACGTCTAGCCTAAGGCGTCCTCATTCAACACAAACCCGATGCTCTTCAGGGGTAGGCTGTTAAGGGCTGGAGCCGCTTCCTAATCACATATTGATTTCAGTGAAGTGGAGCTCAATGGAGAGGAGCCTGCCCAGCCCTGCTCCATCCCCCTGGTGTCCCAGGAGAATGTTTTGCGTGAGGCTAAATGCCTCTGTAAGTGCCTCTCAGCTTTGCGCTCCCCGTGAGCCGTTCTGCACACATGGAGGCATTGAGCACACGAGCAGGCCTGGCATCACATTCCCTTCTGGCGACAGGGATGTTACCTGCCCCGCTCTCCCGCGCAGTGGTGCCTGTAGGCTCTCCCTAGCAGAGCCAACGGCACAGCCAGGCAGGAATTCTGCCTCCAGGAGCAGCCCTTTAGCCCTCACTTCTGCTTTCACGCATGTCCTCATCCAAGGGCAGAAACCGCTTCAAGCCTCTGAGCCCCATTTCCCTGCTTCGGTTTTCACTGAGCCGCCTCAAATAAAGCAACACGTGCACGCCAGGGGCCTTGGGGGGGCTTTGGCAGTGGGACAGAGCTGTGCACATCCGGGAGGCAGGTGGGGGCTGGGGGTTTGCTCACTGACCAGAAGCAGCAGCCCAGATTGGTGATCCGTGGTATGTTTAGGAGTATAAACAGGGTCTGGCTCATCCAGGGCAGACCGTGTGCACTGGGACATTGTACCTATACCCTGTGGTCAGTAGAGGCAGATACTTGGGACAGTGTGCGAGGGAATGTAAGGGAAGAGGCTTCTCCTACCTGTAGTCCTTAGCTTCCAGCAATCCACGAGGACTGCCTGGATGCTGCATCCATGTTATTAAGTTTACTCGCTGCTGATAGGCCAAATCTCCATAAACTTGTCTAAGCCCCTTTGAGCCTCCTTATGCTTTCGGTCTTCACAATAACCTGTGGCAAACAAGCTCCAAAATGTAATGATGTGCTGTGCGAAAAAGCACTGCTCTTTGTCTGCTTTCAGCTTCCCTGGTGATTTCACCAGGGCACCAGCTCCTTGTATTGTGTGAAACAGCATCTGAGATGTCAAAGGGACAGAGAACCCCAGATTTTAGTGAGAGGTCGTCTGATTTTGTCTTCTAAGCGCTAAAACCACTTCTGAGAGCGCAGCAGAGCTTCTGCTTGTAGTGCTGATGACAGTCCTGCTCCAGAGCCGCCGTTGGCTCTTCAGCTTGGTTTTATTTGTTCCCTTTTTTCCTTTCACCTCTGCTTCCACAGCCTGCTGATCCCTGACAGAGCCACTTGTCAAGTTCTTGTTTACTCAGTTAGCAGGGGCTTTCTCTTTACAATATTCCCCTTTTAACTGCTTCAGCAGCTGAGAGTCTATTGCTGGAGACGCGAACACAAACTCAGCCGAGGCCAGGCACGTTTCTCTGAGTGACCTCCCTCTCCTCATTATATTTGTGATGGTCTCAATGTCGCAAGTTCAAGTGCATGCACACGGGGTTTAATACAACACAGAGATAGAGGCAGGGAGATAGACTTCCCCGCTCTCCCTTGAGGCGTGAACGTACTCTGCTGCTACTTGACTGTGCCTTTTGCAGACAGCTCATTAAAAGTGTGTTCATTACCCATCACCGCAGCCCTGTGCTTGCTCAGGCAGACGGGCTCCCACCCCCCGTGTGCACACCCTGAGGGACAGCTCAGCCTGGCACAAACTCGTCTCATTCCTCACTCTACGGAGACCTTGGCTCTGAGAAGCGGTTGTTCATTCGTAGCCTTTGTGCCCTCCACGGAGTTGTGTCTTCCTGGTCACGGCGTTAATTCACACTTAGATGCGGTTTTGAATGTGCCACTTCTTGCCTAAGCCTTTGAGCTGAGTCCAAGTACCATTTCTTCTCAGTCCGAGACACCACCCCTAGGGGGTTTAGCAGATGTGAAGATGTGCTTAGGGACATGGGT